CACTCTTCTTTACTCATTCCACCCATTCAAATGTTCATCTCATCCAGAAAACCTCACAGATACAAGCAGAATAATGCTTAACCAAATGTCTGGGCACCCATAGTCCAGTCAAGTTGACATGTAAATTAATTATAATATCTTCCCATTGACGATTTTAAATTATCTCTCAAGAACTGAGTTTGGAAATGTTGATACCAGTATTTCAATCTGAGACACTATGCTAGTTCAAGGATATATATAGCCAGCTGCATTTTTCAATGAGAAGCATCTTGGAAGCTTAATAAAATTGGAGTCCTCTGCTGGCACAACCTACTTAGGAGCCAACAAGACCATGGTGACACATTCATGCTTTCCCCTAGCCATCATAAGCCCCTATTTCTATCAATTAGATATAAACAGAAATCCAATTAATAAGATAATAGTTACAGTAAATGCTAAACGGAGGTAGAAGAGAGGCTCCAAAATACAATGACAGTAAACTAGATGTTTACTTATTTTTCTGTTACAATCATGTAGGGACCCAAGTTCCTTCTATCTTTTTGCTCTAGTGCGGTGGTTGGCAAACTTTTTCTGAAAACACCAGATAGGAAACATTTAAGGCTTGCAGCCCAACATGATCTTTGTTGCAATTACTTAAGTTCTCTGTCATTGTGGTGCAAAGGCAGCTATATATACTTTCTAAACAAATGGACATAGCTGTGTTCCAATAAAATTTTATTTACAAAACCAAGTGACTGGTCTATGGGTGATAATTTGTTAACCCTTTCTCTAGAGAGTTCTCATCTGCATGGTTGTACTTGGGTTGCTGGCACTTCTGCATTTCAATTTGCAAAAAAAGAGTGGAATTGCTTATTCCAAGTGTTTTAAGGCCCAGACACAGAAGTGGCACATAGTTACTTCTACTCATATCTCACTGGTCCAAACTGAGTTGCATAGCTTCTAGGGAGGCTGAGGAATCTGGCCTCTAGCTAGAGAGTCATGTACCTCACTTAATTTCTGTTACTGAGGGGAAGAAAATATTTTGGTGGAAAATTAGTAACTACTGCCACATGACACCAACCACTTGGGATAATTCTGCAAATTACATGATTCTCTATCTTTTTTTAAAATTTAATTTTATTTTAAGTTCTGGGATACATGTGCAGGAGTGCAGGTTTGTTACATAGGTAAACATGTGCCATGGTGGTTTCCTGGACCTATCAACCCATCACTGAGGTATTAAGCCCCACATGCATTAGCTATTTATCTTGATGCTCTCCCTCCCCGCCACCCCCGACAGACCCCAGTGGGTGTTGTTCCCCTCCCTGTGTCCATGTGTTCTCATTGTTCGACTCACACTTATAAGTGAGAACATGTGGTGTTTGGTTTTCTGTCCTTGCATTAGTTTGCTGAGGATAATGACTTCCAGCTTCATCCACGTCCTTGCAGAGGACATGATCTCATTCCTTTTTATGACTGCATAGTACTCCATGGTGTATATGTGCCACATTTTCTTTATCCAGTCTATCATTGATGGGCATTTGGGTTGATTCATTGTCTTCGCTATTGTGAATAGTGCTGCAGTGAACATATGCATGAATGTATCTTTATAATGGAACTTTTTTATACTCCTTTTGGCATATACCCAGTAATGGGATTGCTGGGTCAAATGGTATTTCTGGTTCTAAGTCTCTGAGGAATTGTCACACTGTCTTCCACGATGGTTGAACTAATGTACATTCCCAGCAACAGTGTAAAAGCATTCCTATTTCTCTACAGCCTCATCAGCATCTGTTATTTCTTGACTTTTTAATAATTGCCATTCTGACTGGTGTGAGATGATATCTCATTGTGGCTTTGATTTATACTTCTCTAATGGTCAGGGATGTTGGGATTTTTTTTTTTAATGTTTGTTGGCCACATAAATGAGAAGTGTCTGTTCATGTCCTTTGCCCAATTTTAATGGGTTGTGAGTTTTGTGTGTGTGTGTGTGTGTGTGTGTTTTTGACAGAGTCTCACTGTGTCACCCAGGTTGGAGTACAGTGGCACAATCTCCACTCACTGCAAGCTCTGCTTCCCAGGTTCATGCCATTCTCCTGCCTCAGCCTCCTGAGTAGCTGGGACTACAGGCGCCCGCCACCACACCTGGCTAATTTTTATTTTATTTTATTTTTATTAGAGACAGGGTTTCACCATGTTAGCCAGGATGGTCTCGATCTCCTGACCTCGTGATCCACCTGCCTTGGCCTCCCAAAGTACTGGGATTACAAGCGTGAGCCACCGCGCCTAGCCCATGCCTGGCCTTTTATTGTTTTTTTTGTTTGTTTTTGTTTTTGTTTTTTTTTTTTTAATAAATTTGTTTAAGTTCCTTAATCCTAAGCAAAAAGAACAAGGCAGGAAACATCATGCTGCCCAACTTCAAACTATATTAAAATGCTACAATAACCAAAACAGCAAGGCCCTGGTATAAAAACAGACACATAGACCAAGAGAACAGAGAGTTCAGAAATAAGACCACACATCTACGACCATCTGATCTTCAACAAACCTGACAAAAACAAGCAATGGGGAAAGAATTCTCTGTTTAATAAATGGTGCTGGAAAAACTGGCTAGCCATATGTAGAAAACAGAAACTGGACCCCTTCCTTACACCTATACAAAAATTAACTCAAGATGGATTAAAGACTTAAATGTGAAACCCAAAACTATAAAAACCCTAGAAGAAAATCTAGGCAATACTATACAGGATATAGGCACAAAGATTTCATGACAAAAACATCAAAAGAAATTGCAACAAAAGCAAAGATTCTCTTACTGCAGATAGTGTGTTTTTAGTGTGTTTAGTTAGGAGTTTTTTTTCCCCCTTAGGAAATAACTCTTATAAACTATTTTCTCAGAATGTAATGCATAATCTGGATAGTATATACAACTTAGACTTTATATTCCTGAAGAATATATCTACTAATGCCTACTTTGTTTTAGGGTGTTCTGTGATTTGTGCCTTTAGAGAGTTTACAGTATGCTTGAAGAAATAAAATATCCCAACATAAAGATTAGCAATATAGGGGATATATTATAACACATATAAAAATTGACTCAAGGTAGATTAAATACTTAAATGTAAAACTTAAAAGTATAAAATCCTTGGAAGATAACTTAGGAAATACTATTCTGGACATAGGACTTGTCAAAGATTTCATGACAAAGATGCCAAAAACAATTGCAACAAAAACAAAAAAAATTGACAAATGGAATCTAATTAAACTAAAGGTATTCTGCACAGCAAAATAAACTTATCAACAGAGTAAACAGGCAACTTGCAGAATTGGAGAAAATACTTGCAAACTATGCATCTGACAAAGGTTTAATGTCCAAAATCAATAAGGAACTTAAACAAATTTGCAAGCCAAACCCCAACAACCTCATTAAAAAGTGAGCAAAGGACATGAACACTTTTCCAAAGAAGAGATACATGCAATCGATAAGCATATGAAAAAATGCTCAACATCACTAATAATTAGAGGAATGTAAATCAAAACCACCATAAGACACTATCTCATACCAGTAAGAATGGCTAATATTAAAAAAATAAAAAAAAAACAAAACAGATTCTGGCAAGGTTGTGGATAAAAGGGAACGGTTATACACTGCTGGTGGGGATGTAAATTAGTTCAGCCATTGTGGAAAGCAGTGTGGTGATTTCTTAACAGTCTAAAAACAGAAATACCATTCAACCTAGGAATTCCATTATCGGGTATACACCCAAAGGAATATAAATCATTCTACCATAAAGACACATGCATGGTATGTTCATTGCAGCACTATCCACAATAGCAAAGACAGAATCAACCTAAATGCCCATCAATAGTAGACTAGATAAAGAAAATGTGGTACCTATACACCATGGAATACTATGCAGTCACAAAAAATAATGAGATCATATATTTTGTGACAATATGGATGGAGCTGGAGGCCATTATCCTAAGCAAACTAATGCAGGAACAGAAAACTGAATACGCATGTTCTCACTTATAAATGGGGCCCAAACAATGAGAACACATGGATCCACTAGGATAAGAACAACAGACACTGTGGCCTACTTGAAGGTAGAGGGTAAGAGGAGGGAGAGGATCAGAAAAGTACCCATAAGGTACTGTGCTTATTACTCAGGTAACAACATTACCTGTGTGCTAAACCCCCAAAACACACAGTTTGCCTATATAACGAATCTGCACATGTACTCCTGAACCTAAAATTAAAGATTAAAAAAAGATTGAAACAAGACAGCAATACATTTTCAATAGCTAAATCAGATGCTGCAATATAAGCATTAAGAGAAAGAGGAAGGCATAATTGATATCTCATATTTGGATATGATTTCCTATTTTCAAGCTGAGTTGATAAAACTGCCTTGTTTTGCATGGAAATAGTTGGGAACTGAAAGACTTGTCCTCAAAAAATTGCTTTTTTGAGTCATATATTTTAATTATTACTATTATTTTTGAGACAAGAGTCTTGCTCTGTCACCCAGGCTGGAGTGCAGTGGCATGATCTCAGCTCACTACAACCTCCGCCTCCCAGGTAAGCAGTTCTCCTGCCTCAGCTTTCCAAGTAGCTGGAATTACAGGCACGCGCCACCATGTCCAGCTATTTTTTTTTTTTTTCTAAGTAGAGTCGGGGTTTCACCATATTGGTCAGGTTGGTCTCAAACTCCTGACCTCAAGTATCCAGCTACCTTGGCCTCCCAAAGTGCTGGGATTACAAGCATGAGCCACCGCACGCAGCCTTTCAGTGATATATTTTAATATTATCAGCACTTGATTTCAAGAGACAGAAACCCACTAAAGCAAGTTTAAACAAACAAAAAATGGCATGGCTAGATTCAGAGGCTTTAATGATGAATTCAGTCTGTATCTCTGCTTCCCTTCATGTGCTAGCTTCAATTTTACGAAAGCGATTTCCATGTGCCAGGAAAAAAAAGGGCCACTAATTTTTCTATTTTATCTTTACATCTTTACAGCTCAAGATCCCAGAGGAAGAGGAGTCATCTTTCCCAGTGACTTTAGCAGAAAAGTCCCTGAGTCAGTCACTGTGCCCACTGGAAGACAAATGGAGACTCACCAAGCTTTGGTCATGAACTCACTGGGACTGCAAGAGACTGGGTCAGCCCCACCAAAATAATGCAGAAGGGAAATACGTGGTTTTTCAAAGGAAAGGTGGGAAAAACCAGTCCAATAAATGTGTTTTCCTTTTGGTCACACATATCATATACAATATGTGCTCATTTTATAAAATTACCGCCCACTACATTTTAAAAAGGATATATTGACAATGTACTATTAATTCTTGCTTTATAGAGATGATAGATAGATGATAGATAATAGATTAGATAGATGATAGAGATAGATTAGATAGATAGATAGATAGATAGATAGATAGATAGATAGATAGATAGATAAGGACATCAGTGATAGGGTCAATATAGGCCTGGGTGCTGGAGCTACAAAGATGAGTGAGGCCTGGGGTTTCTCACCTCATGAAACTTAGGGGAAAACTTAAATAAATAAGTGAACAAATATTACAAAACAGTGTAATTATCACTAACAGATTTGATATCAGAAAATACTTTTGCACAAAGGAATACAATTCTTTAAAGTATTATTTCTTTCCTTGTTTGACTTTGAGGGTACAAATGTAAATGACAAATATGCTGGATTGGGAGTCAGTAGGCTTTGGGCAACCTCTACCTCTGTGACCTTAAGCACGGACAAAAATGACCACTTTGGTTCTCAGTTTTCACTCGTGGAAAATGAGAAAGTTGAAGTATATGATCCCCTAGATTCCTCTAAGTTAAAAATTCTAAATATTTGCATGCATGAGATTATAGTAATCAATGTGACTTCCTTGGAATTCTTCATATGTCAGGATGTATATAAACTGAAAAGCCACTAGATGTCACGCTTGTCACAGATTTTTGCTATTCAAGTTTTTTTTTTTTTTTTTTTGTAAATATCAAGATCTGGGAGTTGAGCAGGACTTTAAAAACTGTATTTGTTCAATCAAGGCTGTTAATTAAAAAAAAAACTATTTGGATTAGATAGATCAAATTACTTAGCTAAATTCACACAACTAGCTAGCATTAATACCAGACCTCCTGATTTCTATTCCAATGGAGCCGTCTCTTTTTAAAATGAATGATGTTTGAAATGATGTTTTTACATCAGCTATCAACTTTGGTAATGATAATTTTTTCTTTTTCTTCTTGAGCTATCACTCAAAGTAATTTGGGGAACCAATTGTTCAAAAATTCCATGATTCAATATAATATCAATAACAATAGATAAAAAGTAGTTATTACTCATAGATTACTAGACTGCCTTGAAACCCTGTTTGAAGATAATTTACAGGATGATGTAAGAAATTGAGTAGATGTGAATAAAAGTGGAAATTAAAGTTCACACACACCTAGCTTATCTGAATTTCGGACTTTGAGAATTTCAGGTTTTCTTTTCTTAAGATGGCCCTGGATGGAAAATAAGTTTTTTTAAAACAGCTTTCTTTGAGAAGTGAAATAACTTTTAGGTTTCTGAACCAAACTAATTAACATTAATTTTTATGTAATCCCTTGAACTTTATCTAACATGCAGTTTTTAATAAACGTGGTTCTCTAATTTGATTCCTAATACTTAGTTGTGCAAGAGGATTTGAGACAGAAACAGGGCTGTAAGAGGCAGAATTGCAGCAGATAGCCTGATGAGAAGGGAGGATTGCTAGACTCCAAGAAACAAAACTAATCTACATCATTACAAAATAGGAGATGTTTCTAATTACAACCTTGTGTCTTCAAGAACCGGTTAAATTATATCGACAGTCCTTTGTGACATACAAGCTTTTTGAGAAGGATTTTCTACAAAATGGTCAAAATGAAGCCTTGGTGTCCAAAAGCAGTTAAATATTGCTTATATAGGGAAGTCATTTATGTAATTCTTATAACTGTGAAGTTACAATAAATCCTTTTTCCAGAGTGAGGGTAATGTTGGATTATGGATATAAATAGTGAGCCTGTTAATACTGGCTCTGCTGCCTCAGTAAACTGAGAAGAATAATACTACTGCACAGAGGTGATGTGGGATATTTGAAGGAGTTGTGGAAAATGAAAAGTCCTATATAGTTGTAAGCTATCAAGATGATGACAGTTAGAAAACGTGAATGGCTACATTCTCCCAAGAAAAGCTCTCCCTGTGGAGATGAGCGACGGAAACTGGAAGAGCTCAACATTAAAGAACTAGAAGAACATATGGGAAGGCCAGAGGTTAACTTCTCTGTGGATGATGAGGTAGCTGGACTGATCTACTTTCCAAAAGTTAAGAAGTGATCACAGAGATTCTTCCAGGGATGAGAAAATGGGACCACTCTCTGAATCAATACTGAGATATGATGTGTCATGAATGCAGGTAAAACCACGGCTGTCCAAATAGGATGGAGCTTTGCGACCGCAAGGGACCAGCTGTTGCATTCGCTCTCCCCATCTTTGTTCTGCTTTCCCTGCTCACTTCTAAAATGAAGGAAAGCCAGGATCTGTGTAATATCTTTCTTGAGCTATTTTCAGTTGTATTTTATATCTATTCCTGGGTTGGAAAATTGAGGCCTTCTGCTGTTTTTCCTGTTTTCTGTGGTCAGGCTTCAGTATTTTTCTACCTCTTTTTAAATCCCCTTGATGAACTTATACTTAAAAAACAAAAGTTGCTTGTTGCAGGAATATTCCAGTTGGTTTCAGAGAGGGAGCAAGACAAGTTGGATATCACGTGCCCATATCTCTCACGTGTGTGCTAACTGAATTTCTACATGCCCTCAAATCACCTCATGTTTTGCAAAATTGTTATGTTGGAATCAGCAAACAATTAGAAAATGTGCTATATTTCAGTGTGGCAATTTTATATTCTCTTGTCTATTACTGAAACAAATTATTTCCCACACATTTTGATCACATTATAGTGGTGCTAGTCACATTGTTGTGTGAAGGTGGCCTCAGCATTCCCACGATAAATTTTGTTTGTCAAGCTCTTGTAACTTGGCTATAAAACTCTACCTCGAGTTCAAGACTTGCTTTAATCCCAGAGCCATCTAGGAAAGAAAATAAATTTATCTTAAGTTGGATACAATGTTAGCAATAAAATAATTAACAGTGAAAACCTCCTCCCATTGCTCAAATCTTGTTGCTATTTTTCAACAACTCCAATCCCGAAAACATCATTTTTTGAATTTAATAAATTCTCTCATTCTGTATGAAATTTCATATAATTTGGAAGTTCATCTTTAGGTCAGAGAAGGACATTTTATCTCTGCAAATAAACCAATTAAATATCTGGGTGAGAAAATTCTATTTTTTTAAAGTTTCTTATTTTTAACTAAGTCGTTTTCTAAGGGTTACACAATGGAAGGACAGAGAGGGCTGCCAAGAGCCCTGGAGGCACCATTTGTTCTGATGCTGTCTTTTATCAATTTAAGAAATAAAGCCACAGAAATCCTGCTTCACTCGCCTTTCCTCTCTTGAGTTGATTATTATTATTTTTTTTTCCTTTCTAAAGTTTTAGTTCAAATTCTTGTTATTTTGATAGAAAGGGAGTTCTGGTGATAAAAGTGCATAGAAAAGTGCATAAAAAGTGCATAGCTACAGATCAAATTCACTTTGTAAAAATGTCTCTTTAGAGATTATCAGTAAGTGAGCCAAGGTGCTGTCGAAGTGAAATGCTTTCTCAGTTGAACTGTCTTTCTACATAAGTTTAATTTTTGAACTGCCAATTTGTCTGCACGCCTCCATTTTTTACTTACCCACTTGATGATAACTTGGGTGACCCTGAGGCTTTTGTTAAACTTACATTCAGAGATCAAGGCTCCAGTCAGGGACTCACTCGGCTCCACTGGGGTTGTTTCCTACTCTCACGGACTTCAAAGAAAACGGAGCCCGGAGAAAGATAGCACATTGGGGTTATCTGAGCCAATTTTTAAAAAATCAAGAATATCATGCAATATACCCAGGTAACACATCTGCACCTGTACCCCCCTGAATCTAAAATAGAAGTTGAATTAAAAAAGAAATGTCCGGGTGCAGTGGCTCACGCCTGTAATCCTAGCACTTTGGGAGGCCAAGGCGGGCGAATCACGAGGTCAGGAGATCGAGACCATCCTGGCTAACACGGTGAAACCCCGTCTCTATTAAAATTACTATATATATATTAGCCGGGCGTTGTGGCGGGTGCCTGTAGTCCCAGCTACTCGGGAGGCTGAGACAGGAGAATGGTGTGAACCCTGTAAGCGGAGCTTGCGGTGAGCTGAGATCGCGCCACTGCACTCCAGCCTGGGCCACGGTGCGAGACTCCTTCTCAAAAAAAAAAAAAAAAAAAAAAAAAAAGAATATTTTGGGGTAGGGTTCTTGGGAAGAACCAAACTATGCACAACTTCTAATCACCTTCAAAACCTTTAATGAGGAAGTTTTATTTTAGTAAGTTCCATCTGAATTGAATGCCAATCAGTTGGAAAAATAGCAGATGTGTTATGAGACCTCTAAGCTAAATGTGCTTCCTGAAAAAATGCCCACAACGAGGCTCTGTAAATGTAGTAAGGAATACGCAGTGGGAAGAGCAGAAGAGAAGCCCTGTCTTCACCTTGTTGGGTCATTCTTATTAAGTTGCTATATTTCTCTGAAAAACAGTTTGTGAAAGTTTCTCTCTACATAAAATAAGAAAAGGAAGCTATCATAATAATATTTTTAAAAAATTGTTTAATACAGGGACTGGCAAACATTTTCTGGAAAGGGGCAGATAGGAAATATTTTTGGCTTTGCAGGCTGCATGGTCTCTGTCATGACTACTCCGTTCTGCCGATGTAGAGTGAAAGCTGCCTAGACAATATGTAAATGAATGGACGTGGCTGTGTTCCAGTAAAACTTTATTTACGGAAAGAACCAGGGGCTCACAAACCAAAGTTTGGTGACTTTGGTTGGAATGTTTGCATTCTTATTATGTGACAGGTACCACTTCACTGCTTTACATACATGAATATACCTAATAAGGTGGATACTATTATTGTCATCAGTTTATGAATGAGGAAGCCAAAGTCCAGAGAAATTGATCTACTTGCCCAAGGACATATAGCTAGTAAATGACAGAGCTGAGTTTGAGCATGAAGTGTACCTCTGTCAGCCTCCAGTCTCTTACATTTTTCTTTTCTTCTTTTTTTTTTTTAGACAGATTTGCCTTCCCACCTAAAAGCTAAAAGCTTCCACAAGGGACTTGTAACAACCTAGGAGTATTAGCCGGGTGTGGTGGTGCATGCCTGTAGGCCCAGCTACTCAGGAAACTGAGGCAGGAGAATCGCTAGAACTCGGGAAACGGAGGTTGCGGTGAGCCCAGATCGCACCACTGCACTCCAGCCTGGACAACAAGAGTGAAACTCCGTCTCAAAATTAAATAAATAAGTAAGTAAAAATAAAAATAAGAAAAGACTCAGGAGTAAATACCAGGAAATTTGATGTAAATCTTACTAACTCCAACTGGTGAGTGATATAGAATAGCATTCAGAGTAATTTGTCACAGAACATATTTTCCAGATGATTCTTGGAATTTAGCTTGGTAATATGGATAATTTGCTTTTTCTGATATTTGATTATACTTGTTCCACTCATATTTTGGCTTAAAGGGGTATTCCTCTTCTCTCCAAATATATTTACTAGCTTTCCCACATTTTCCCCCTCCCTTGAAAGCAAGAATACTACTATTAAAATGTACTACTTACTTGAACTTCTCTTTTGTAAGTGAAAAAACTCAAAGCATTTTTTTCTTTTACCCCTTCAAGAGGTAAAATTAAAAAGCAGTGTTTCATAAATGGAAACAATGAGAAAACCTTGGCAAGCACCACTGAGGTGATGAATTGTAATTCAACATGAATGTCATTCCCATCCTCTTGTGTGATTTGACAGTTACTGAAGGGCTTGCATCTTTAATTGTATGGCGTTTGTGATAATAAAAGTGTATGCATTTTTACAATAAGATTGTTGGATTGTTACTCAGGCAGAACAGTTCATTTGATGAGACTTAGCAGTATACTGAGATTCCAAGTTGGTTCATCTCCATTAAGGAGAGGAGAGCTCCCCCTATACCTCATGTTTTCTATCTGGCTCCCAGGGCAGGCTAAGACTGAATGGAAAAATAGTGAAATATTGACTGACAAACATTTTCTGGGAAGGGGCAGATAGCAAATATTTTTCACTTTGCATGCTACACGGTCTCCATCACAAATAATTAACTCAGCTGACGTAGCATGAAAGCTGCCATAGACAATACGTAAATGGTGGATGTGGCTGTGCTCCAATAAAACTTTACCAGAAACCTGGTGGCTCACAATCCAAAGTTTGGTAACTTTGGTTGGAATGTGTGCATTCTTATTTTGTGACAGGTACCATTTAGCAGCTTTATATACATTAGTATGCTTAATGTATGTAAAACATAAATATAAAATGTAAAACTCTCACATTTTCAGTGTAGTAGAACCAATGATCACACTTTTCTTTAGGCTGCCTGTAGTTTATGATGTTCTTCTCAACTGTTCTCTTAGATTTCCAAGAAGATCTTAGCACAGGGTCTCTGAAAGGGAACATGGGCTCCAGAGAAAGTCTTGTAGTGCAGCAAATATTCCCAGTGAGCCTGACCTAAGCAGTGTGAAGTTTCCCAATTGAAAGGTTACCTCTTAATCAATCAGATCTAGAAGGGCGCAAAACAGACCCCAGGATTTGAGCTTTCAGAACAAAACCATCCACTCATGTATGTGCAGTGCTATGGCTGGAACTCCTGGGCTATCTTTTTGTAGGATGGAGCCATTCTGGCTTCTGAAGCTTGCCCTTGTTTTCCGATTGGAGTCATGAATGTTTTATGGACAATAAACGTCCTTGACAATTCTCTGGAGGTCTTCTTGGATTATTAACTCTATTGAAGGTCTGATTAAGCCAAATCAGCATTTGTAGTTCATTTTCTGGGAGTAGCAATGCAGTGATGCAGGTGTATAGTTGCCACTAATATTATCATCATCAAGTGGTCATTAGTGACCCATTGGGGACAGCACTATGCTAGGCATCAGTGCTATCCAGCTGTCTTTCCAGAGTCTCTCACTTCCAGAAACCTCCACATTCTGGTGTCCCCAAGCTAATCTCTCATTTTTATTCTCTACCTAAGCCTGGCCCCTCCAGGTTTGTTACAGGGTCTCTGTGTCTTTTCATTTATCTAACCCAGATATGCACATGTTGCTTGTGTTGGAATAAAGTCTCATCAGGTTGTTTTTAGGAAAATTAACCTTACTTTTTAAATCATAATTAGGTCTGAAAGAGGGAAAACGAGATTACGTTTCTTCTTCTTTTTTTTTTTTTCTAACTAAGAATGCCAACTATCAGACACTAGGTTGAATTATAGTTCTCCAGGACAATCAGTTAATATATGTATAATATTAAAGTACATGGTTACAAAGGGGTAACAGTAAACTTTTGAACTCTTAATGTTTCAAGAGGAATTCTTTACAAATGAACTAGAAAGTACATGTTTATGATACAGGATATTTACAGACACCAAGGCAAAGAGGTGATATTTGAATTCCTGAATTGTCTGGAGAGTTCTCTTAATTATCTACTTATTGATGTAGAATTGATCTTCTAAGAAACTACATAGCTTATTTTTAGAAGCATTACTAGAGAGAGATAATAATACTAGTGTTTTTAATTTCTGGTAAAGTTGGCTGGAAAAGGATGCAATAAGAGTGAACATTTAATTACAATCCAGCAGCATAAAAATTTGTCATTTCAACTATCTATATGTTCTTTAGAAATACATTTTATTTTAATCTAATGTTTTGGTATGTTTATCATCAAATACATTTCTTCTAAATATACAACAGGGTCAGAGTTTTCCCTAGGACATTATACTATCCAGGGAAAATTAATGACAGAGTAACACAACCTCTGCCTCCTAGATCAAAAAAAAAATTTTTATGTTTATGAAAGTAACATATGCAGTACTTCTCCCTTATTTACAGTCTTGCTTTCCATAGTTTCAATTACTCATCATCAACTGTGGTTCGAAAATATTCAATGGAAAATTTCAGAAATAAACAATTCATAAGTTTTAAGTTTTTCAGCATACTAAGTGGCATAATGAAATCTTGCATCATTCTGCCCTGGAAATGAATTCTGCCTTTGTCTGAATTCATCGTGTAGACACGACCTGCTCATGAGTCAATTAGTAGCCATCTTGGTTATCAAATCCACATTCACATAGCTTTATTACAGTGTAAAGTTATACTTGTTTTATTTTACTAATAGTTATTGTTCTTAACCTCTTACTGTGCCTAATTTATAAATTAAGCTTTATCACAGGTAGGTATACATAGAAAAAAACGTAGCATATATAGGTTTTGGTTCAGGTATCCACTGAGGATCTTGGAATGTATCTTGTGAGGATAGAGGAAGACTACTCTATTCACTCTAGAACATTTGGAAATAGATTTTATATGAAATTATATTAAAATATCATTCATAATCCCACTGTCCATAAATAATCACTGTTACTATTTAATACAGTTTTTTTCCCAGTCCTTATCTATGCAGGCGTAAATCAGTGTGCATGTATCAATGGGGTCACAGTAAGAATTTTAACCAGAATTTAACTTGTTTATATACTTTTTTTTTTTTTTTTTTAGACAGAGTCTTGCTCTGTCGCCCAGGCTGGGGAGCAATGATGTGATCTCGGCTCACTATAACCTCTGCCTCCCAGATTCAAGCGATTCTCCTGTCTCAGCCTCCTGAGTAGCTGGGATTACAGGCATGCACCACCACACCTGCAAATTTTTGTATTTTTAGTAGAGATGGGGTTTCACCATGTTGGTCAGGCTGGTCTCGAACTCCTGACCTTGTGATCTGCCCGCCTCGGCCTCCCAAATGCTGGAATTACAGACGTGAGCCACCGTGCTCGGCCAACTGGTTTATATTCTTATCTGTACAGCTTCAACCTCCAATTGCAGCCCGCCAGCTCCACTGCCTAGTTATTTCTGGGAGTTCCTGGGATGTCCCAGATGAGTTCATAAATAGTTTTTCATGTACTTCTTTATTTCCCTTGTTGCCTTCTTCTGCTTTTTGTTCACTGCTGTATCCCTTAGCATCTAGAATAATGGCTGGCACAGAAAGCCACTGATACATATTAACTGCTGGGTGCATTTGCACATGCCTGTAATCCCAGCACTTTGGAAGCCCAAAGCAAGAGGATGGCTTGAGGCCAGGAATTCAAGGCCAGCCTGGACAACACAGTGAGATCTTGTCTCTCCAAAAATATTTTAAAAATTAGCTGGGCATGGTGGAGCGCACCTGTCATATCAGCTATTCAGGAGGCTGAGGCAAGAAGATTGCTTGAGCCCAGAACTATGAGGCTGCAGTTAGCTATGATTGTACCATTGCATTCCAGCCTGGATGACAGAACGAGACCCTGTCTCGATAAATAAATAAATAAACAAACATTGAGGTTCTCAACAAATAAAAGTTTAAAAAATACTTCGTTCCCAACATGAACTTAGTTCCTGGTTCATATCAGCCACTTTTCTGCTGCTCTGTGTCCTCTCATATTATTCCCAAGTTGGCACCAGGGCCATGGGAAAGATACCAGAATGGCCCTCCAGACCCTTTTCCTGAAGCTGCCGGTGCTCTTCGGAGCCTGACTTCAATCCCTCCTCTTCCTTGTTTCTGTCTCTATTGCCGCCCACCTCGAGTTTCCTTTCTCTCTGAACACCTCCAGCACTCACAGTCTGTCTCACATTATTCGGCAAATTGCAAATATTTGTTATTGGTCAAAGCCATTGCCTGGGAGTCAAGATATTTTTGTTTTAGTTCATAGGTTATATCGCATTTTCAATTTGGGGAATCTTATTTTTTCATATAAAAATATAGGAGTAGGTAAGCTATCTCTAAAACGGCTTTTAGTTTAATTCCATTACCTCTGCTGCTCAAGCAGATTTGAATTGCACATAGGACCATAACTGAGATTTCTACCTTCTTCATGCCTAACTGAAAGCTGGGTGCAAAGAAGAGCACAAAAAGTGAATATTTAGTGACTGATTCAAATCCTCAGAAAGTACAAATATTTTAGTTTTTTATTCTCCTATGAATAGGAACTATAATGTCAAACATTTATTGCTATGTTTTAGACTCATTCTAAAATTAGCCCAAGGTTTCCTATATTTCCTGCATCCAATGGAACTAGGTATTACTCTGTTTTTACACTGCTGACAAAGGCATACCTGAGACTTGGAAGAAAA